AGATTTCATAAAGCGCATTGTCAGAGATCCTCAATGCGCTTTACATTGGATACATCCTTCATTCTCTCACACAGTCAAACCTTGCCGGTGGTAAACTACCTTTGTAGTCACAGTTGACTGATGGAAGCATGGCTGCCAGTTTGCGCCTACGGTCTCTTCGACTATCACCACACAACACTCACAATCACACACCAGTGGAGGACACACACTGGGAGCAAGGTTGGTTGAGTGTCTTACCCAAGGACACCATGGACAGACTCAGGATAGGGGGGAATTGAACCGCCAACCTTCCAGTTGTTGGACGACCGCTCTACCTCCTGAGCTACTGCTGCCCTGTAGAAGATTGCACAATAACTCAATGATCAATTTAACTCAGCTTTCTCTCATCCAGGTTCCATTCTGTGACTTGTGGTAATCAGAGTCCGTTAAAGTGAACAGGTCTCATCAGAGTTTACAGTGTTGTGGACTCAGTCAACACTGTAGGATCCGCCTGAGCTGTTTCAAAGACACAGTTTATGTAACTGTCATCTATTGTTGGGTTTTGGACGTATCTTTACGCTGAAACAAAGTTCTGATGGCTGAAACTCAGACTCTCGGAATTGTGTCAGTGGGAGGCCTTTAAAGTCCCTGCCCTTTTTGCCATGGTGGAAACTGGCGTTCAGAGGATCCTGTGAAAACATCCTTCCCTCCATAGGTTGTTGGTCTTCTTCAGTTCGCTGTGTCCACTCTTCTGAAGAACATCTGCTCAGGTGTGCGCTGTTCTTCTGTGGTGTCTCATTGCTAAGTTACACTGCCATCTATTGGCCTGGCGTGCGCACTGCAGCTGCTCTGAGGATCAGTGAGGCTCACACGAACACAGAGAAAGACTGCTTTTTTATGGGACACTATTTAAACAAGAGCTGCACTGAGTTAGATTACAGTGGCATTACATTACACACACACACACACACACACCCAAACACACACACGCTTCCTGCAGCCTTCATTAGACTCCAGACGTTAGCTATGCTTCAATTCATTAAAACACACACTCAGCCGCTCTGCATCTCACTGTAAATTGGTATTGATCCACTAGAGGACAGTGTGTGTGTGTTTGTGTGTGAGTGTGTATGTGTGTGTACGGGGGGATATTGGCTGTGTGTGGATCAGGGACTGAGGCTAATGAGAGGGGGCAGGGGGTCTCAGGTGAGCAGAGGTCACTCAAGCAACAAGGGCAGGAAACACACACACATACATACACACAGACACAGACACACACAGAGACACACAGACACACACAGCCCGAATGGAACTGTTACAGTAGGTGAGGAGCAAGAGGGAGAGAGAGGATGCTGTGTGGATGGAGGGGGCTGTGGGGGTGGGTGCGGGGGGGCAGCATAGCAAGTGAGCCTATAGAATGCATCATGGGATGAGCGAGACAGAAAGAGAAAGAGAGAGGGAGAGAGAGAGAGAGAGAGGAGAGAGAGAGAGGGGAGGGATGCTCTCAGTGTTGGAGGAGCTGTGGGACGAGATGCGACGGACCAAAAGTTTCAGAGAAGAGAAAGAGGGGGAGATGTTGGGGGAGGGAGAGGGGGAGTTGGTGGGAGAGGGAGGAGGACAGAGAGGGGGAGACTGCAGAGGCAGCACCTGAAACACTCTGAGAGAGAGAGAGAGAGAGAGAGAGAGAGCGAGTCTCTCTTTCTTCTTCTTCTTCTCTTCTTGTATCGCTGCTCTCTGCTGCATCGCCCCGCGGAAGGAGGGAGGAGGGGGGAGGAGAAGGGAAGGGGGGGGGGGGGGGTCCCAGCTTCAACATCTGTCCGTAGGTAAGTGCTACATTCCTCATTTCCCTCATTCTCCTCTACCTCACCCCTCCTCTACACCTCTGCAGCTGAGCCTCTGAGTGTGACACTCAAGGTGAACAGGGACTGTGTGTGTGCGTGCGTGCGTGCGTGCGTGCGTGCGTGCGTGCGTGCGTGAGTGCGTGCATGTGTGTTTGTGTAGCGTAAAGCAGACACATGGTGAAGCTGCTGCAGTGTTTGAATGAAGGTGTTTCAGGATAAAGAGGCCGAGTGGACCCACTGAACACTGACAGCAGTAAACCTGTGTGTGTGTGTGTGTGTGTGTGTGTGTGTGTGTGTGTGTGTGTGTGTGTGTGTGTGTGTGTGTGTGTGTGTGTCAGTGTGCTGTTGTTTAGCCCGTTTCTCTGAACCCTCTTGAAGAGATGCTGCAGACCCAGATCAGCTCAGTCTGACCTCTGAGCAGGTCAGAGTTCACCTGGTCAGAGGGGTTTACACAAACAGCTGTGTGTGTCCCTGTGATTGTGTGTTTCTGTGGGTGTGTGTCCTTAGTAACTCCCAGTCCTGTAGCTGTTCTGGTGGTTCCTGGTTTCTAGAGGAAAGTCTTTGACTGTAAGGATGTGCGCTGACTGTAAATCTGCTGTCATTATGATTTTGATGACTTTGAGTCCAAATCTGTGGTCTGTGTGATTTAAACACAGTCTGTGATGTGATGTGGGTCTGAATGTCCAGTGTAAAGTGTGTGATGGTCTGCTGGAGCTTTTTGGTCAGATCAAACTCTGATTTTATTTTTTCATCATTTATAGAAGTTTGTTTACATGAAAGAAATTTGTATCAATTCATTTGTTTCTATTTTCGTCACCTGGTCAGAGGGTTTAACTGTCAATTGATCCTGTGTGTTTCTGGGTGTGTCCTTAGTAACTCCCAGTCCTGTAGCTGTTCTGGTGGTTCCTGGTTTCTAGAGGAAAGTCTTTGACTGTAAGGATGTGCGCTGACTGTAAATCTGCTGTCATTGTGATTTTGATGACTTTGAGTCCAAATCTGTGGTCTGTGTGATTTAAACACAGTCTGTGATGTGATGTGGGTCTGAATGTCCAGTGTAAAGTGTGTGATGGTCTGCTGGAGCTTTTTGGTCAGATCAAACTCTGATTTTATTTTTTCATCATTTATAGAAGTTTGTTTACATGAAAGAAATTTGTATCAATTCATTTGTTTCTATTTTTTTGTCCAACTGTCAATTGATCCTGTGTGTTTCACAGTGTGTGCGTGTGCGTACTTGTGTGTGTGAGAGAGAGAGGGCTGTATGGTGTGTAAATGCTGAGCAGACTCATGCTCTAACCTCTCTGTCCTGATACAACTGCAGAGTGTTTCAGAGATTTTCATATATAGACAAAGAAGAGTTTGATTTAAGTTTATTTAGTTGAAATGAGATACTAAGAAAAAGCTGATTTGATTTTGTCTTCGTCTACATTTGGGATTTTTTCGGAAATAGACCCACAGCCTGATTGGATGTAAAATTTGGAAAATGTGAATAGTTCAAAGACTATTTATCATATTTTTTTACATGTGAATATTTTACCTGCACCTGTGGTCTGAGTGTTTGCTTGTATCTGTAGTTTTAAGACTTTCCTGAACTGAGCTCTTCACTCCTCTGTTTGTTCCACACAGACAGAGACTGACTCTATTATGATACAAATAAACAGATACATAACTGTGAAAACCTAAAGTTAAGAATTGATTTAGGATTTAGTTTTTACCCTTTTTCCAATCACTTCAACTGATTTTTGATTTGGAGTGTTTTATTTTCACAAGAAGGGGATCACCAAAAAAGCACTTTGTGAAGTCCAGTAGTGATTTAATGAATGTGCTGATTTGTCATTCCTGTAAACTGTTGGTTACCATAGTGACATAGACTTCAAATGCTTATTTGCGAGAGATGAAAATATCTGAACTGAACGACTGTTCGCACTGCAATCATCATGGACATACCCTGGTGACATATGTCAACAATAGATCGGCAGAGGTTTATCTATGAGGAAACTGGAGGATTAACTGATCGTGAGAGTATGTGACCACCTGAGCTGTGGGACACAACATGTCTGTGGTGGTGGAGGTCAGTATGGTGGAGGCTTGCGAGGCCACCTAAACTGTCGACACAGCTTGTCTGTGACCCAGAGAGAAGGAAAAAAAAAGAGCTCAGATTGAGGAAAGAGAGTGAGGAGATCTGATTATCTGGAAAGTTGTTTCAACAAAACAGATCTGATCAATCACTATGATCTATGTAAACAGACTGACCTGGCATGTAGGAACCCCTCCTCACTTAGTAGATGATTTCATTCGCACTTGGTGTGAAAACAACATTAGAGATTAGGCAAATGTGACAGAGAAAGGAGGTGGAAGTCAGTGTGGTCACTCAGGTGTATAAGCTGGGTGGAGGTAAATAAAGTGGAGGTCAGTAAGATGGAGGTCAATTAGGTGGAGGCCTGCCAGGTGGAGATCAGTTAGATGGTTTGGTCAGTGAGTTTGAGATCAATAAGAGGGAATTTAGTTAGGTTTTCCCGGATGAAAGAGTCCTGCCACTTGAAATATTTTGTTTTTGCACATTTTTGCCTTCATATATAAGACAGTAGGGGTGGGAATCACCAGTCGCCCTATGGTACGATATTATCACAATACTTGGGCTATGATATGATATTTTTGGGATTTTTAACATTTTGCAATACAGTGAGTATTGCGATACATTATATTGCGATTTATACATTTTTTTCCCAACTGTTTAGCTAATTTAGCATTTGTCTTTCCTTTGTGTTGGTCTCATTTACACAGTATTTTATTTTTATGTGGCACATCTTGCAAACCATGTATATAGTTACTGCACTAACTTTCTCCTGCTGTACGATGTCACCTTTGCCAACCTCACTGGACAAACCGTTGATTTTATTTTTCCATTATCATAGATCTGACTTCACATTAGCAATTAATTTGAAAAAAATTTGACGATACGATATATCACCAGACAAAATATCGCAATAATATGCCATATCGATTTTTTCTCTCACCCCTATAAGACAGCCAAAAAGAGACAGGAAATTTGGGAAGTATGGTGCCGGGAGTAACACGCAGCAAAGGTTTGTAGTTGGGAGTGGAGAACTGTTGGACAAAGATTAAAGCACCTTTAATGATGATGCATAACGTGCTGTGCCATTGGCACTATGACAGCATCCTGCCTGGGTGACATACCTCTTTATAGCCCATATGAAAAGAGCAGCTGTGGAATGTAAAGAAGTATGTATCCTAGGTCAGGAAGACTCAGCCGAGCACCACACAAGACCCTTAACCTTAACTCCAGACCCACGCCGAGTACGTCTGCTGTCTTCACCTCACTGAGACTGTTAAACTGAAAATAAGTGCCTCAAGCTTTTTCAATCTGTAAAACTGCTAACACAATTTACGGTCAAACAAGAGGTAATCCCTGTAAAATCCTGTCCTGGTGTAGTCCTGGAATCGTCCCATCCTGATGGGTCCTGGTTTGACCTTGTGTAGTCTTGCTCTGACAAGTCTTGGTGAAGTCTTTGTGTAGACCTGTCCTGATGAGTCCTGATGTAGTCCTGCCCTGGTATAGTCCTGTCCTGATGAATCCTTGTGTTGTCTTGAACAGGTGAAGTTATGTCCTGATGAGCCTTGATATTGCCCTGTCCTAGTGTAGTCCTGCCCTGGTGTCGCCCTTTTTTATTGGTCATAGTGAGATGTGAAATAGTCTTGTCCTGATGAATCCTGGTATAGTCCTGATATAATCCTGTCTCATTAGGTCTTGGTGTTGTCCCATCAAGTTGAATCCTGTTGTAGTCCTGTCCTGATAAATTCTGAAGTAGTCAAGCTGAAGTCCTTAACTGATAAGTCCTGCTGTGGTCCTTTCCTGATGGGTTACTTTGTAGTCTTGTCTTGTGTAGTCTTGGTGTAGTCCTGTACTGGTGTGGTCCAAGCATAGTCATTCCAAATGTAGTCCTGGTGGATCCTGGTATAGTCCTGTCCTGATAAGTCCTGGTGTAATCCTGCTGGGTGAGTCCTTGTGTAGTTCTGCCTCATGAGTCTTAGTGTAATCGTGTCCTGATGGGCCCTGTGTGCGTGCGTACATGTTCATCTATATGCGTGTGTGTGTAAACACTGTTTGTATAAATTGTGTGTACATTTGGTGTGTAATTTGGCCCACTTTGTATATAAATACTGTATGTGACCTAGTTAGGGTGTACTGTCCCTGTTCAGGTGTTATGTAGGACAGAGTCAGAGCAGAGACATCAACCTGTGATTAAATTTAATAAAGATCCTCTCCGTGGATTCACAACTGATCAGAGTGAGGGGATGAGCAGTGTGTTTGACAAGGACAAAAAGCTACGGGCTGAAGAAAGGACACTTAAAAAATAAACAAACTGTCTGACACAGTTTCTTCTCTCACTCGCAATATAAGATTGTTAATATATTAGCAGGGATTAACAGGTGTCTGTGTCTGTGCTCACAGTGTTTGACATCCATTCATTCATATTTGAAGGCCTGTAAACAGGAGTCAATACGGATGATGTTCAGGTGGTGTAAGTGAGGGGTGAGGTGAGTGTATAACAGGGGTGAAGTGTGTGACAGAGGGTGAGGAGCAGACTGAGTTGTGACCTCAGAGCAGAGGGAGGTGTGCGTGCGTGCGTGCGTGTGTGCATGTGTGTGTGTGAGTGGTGAGCTGGGGGCTGTTATTGATGATGTTGATCAGGTCTGCTGTGGAGGGTGAGGGGTGTATTGTTCTGTCACTTTGCCTGTGTCAGCAGGTGGAAGCTCTCATCAGGACATTAAATATGCAGCAATGCTGACTGCAGCACCGAGTGATTGTGCGCGCGTGTGTGTGTGTGTGCGTGTGTGTTAGAGAGAGAGTGTGTGTGTGTGTGTGTGTGTGTGATTTCAGATTTGTTTTACAGTTATGTCTGTCTCTTTCTTGTATGAGCTGGATTATAATCTGACCAAGAAGACTTTAAAGTGTCATTTCTGAACATATTTGGATTTATCTCATGTCTCACCTTTGTCCATCTCCCTCTTTCTTCACCTCCCTCTATCAGTCTCTTTTCTTTCCATCTCTCTCTCTCTCTCTCCTTATCTATCTCTCTCCCCTCTCTAAACCCAGCTCAGTCTCATTGTCTAGCATGAGTCTGGTTCTGTTCGAGATTTCTGCCTGTTAAAGAAAGCTTTTCCTCTCCACTGTAACTGAATGCTGTGATTTGTTTCTCTGATGTGTGTGAAGATGGATCAGAGCCGGTTTGGTCTTAGGAAATGGGGCCATAAACAGGAGCTGGACACACCTCTTCTCTGGGTCTAAGTAAATGCTCTATTTGGGTATTTCCAAGTCCTTAACTCTGCCATCAAAACGCTGTTTCTGCACTTTTCTTGGATGCGAAACAACCAAGTAGTGGTTGAATTATTCTTGCATGTAAATACCTTTTTAAGACCCAAATTGGCCTCTCTACATTCTCCAGGTTTCACACTGGAGTTTTGACCTGGGAATCAAACAATGTAAGTGTGAAGTAGGACGCGGGTAGAAAAGAAAGATCTTCATCTCAGAGTAATACTAATATCTGTGATGTAACAGGGCGACCTGAAAAAGGTCCACAGCCCACGAGCTGAAAGGTGACACATCGCCACCTACTGTACAGAAGGAGGACAAACTTTTGTGTGTGGATCAATTCAATTCACACACTTCTGATTGGCAACACACACATCTGACGACAACGCACAACTCTCACTGAGCTATAAACATATGTGTTGATTTTATCTGTGGTAAATCTTGCAGAGAGAGAAAGGATGAACTTGAGCTAAGGAGAAGACAGACATATGTGATAAATGACTTTAATCCTCTCATCTGTGACTGTGTGAATAATTAAATTTAACTGTTTGTTTTTAACCCATTTTATTATATTTTTTTAAATGATCCATAGTAACATGATAAATATCTGATTTCTGTTTGACAACACTAGGTCTAGAAACGATCATTGTTGGAGATCTTTACTTGTGAGAGACATGTTTCAACTGACTGATCAATACACACTCACTCACACACACTCACACAGACAGAGTCAGTTTCAGTCTAATTGAAGCAGATGTCTGTTTAATTGATTGCAACAAATTTCCTCAACATTGATCCTGTTAGTCTGTGTGTGTGTGCGTGTGTGTGTAAGTGTGTGTAAGTGTGTGTCAGAAACATCTGAGACATAAATCAGGATCTATTATCATAGTCGACCTCACCTGCTGCTGTTTACCCCTGCTGTGAGTGTCAGTGTGTAATTTATCTGTTTAGAGCTGCACACACGCACACACACACACACACACACACACACACACACACACACACACACACACACACACACACACACACACACACACACACACACACACACACACACACATAGACTAGTAGTTCTAGCCTGTACACCTGTAAATGCTCATATAGTAATTACTCGGTGTGTGTGTGTGTGTGTGTGTGTGTGTGTGTCAGCACTCATTCTCCTCTCATACTGTGTCCCTCACACACACAGTGTTAGTCCTGCAGACTCTCAGTGTGTTTCTGTGTGAGTGATGCATTAAGGGACTCGCTGTGCTGTATTCCATCTATTTCACTCACATTAACAGCTCGGTTTACCTGCTGATTGATGTTCGTTTCAATGTTTTTATTTACTGATTCTGCTCCGGAGGCAAATAAATCATGGCAGCACTGAAGTCCAACACACATTTACCTACAGGGACCATAAAGATTATTGTACAGTATCGTATTGATTCATTAGGGTTTAAACTATCATAGCATCTTGTGTGGTATTGCATCAGATCATTTTATTTTGATAAACCATATTCACATGATATATTATATCATGATGTATTATGTTGTACAGTAAACCGTCATAGACTATATTTTATCTTATTGTATCATATCATAACATATTAAATAATTTTGAATCATATCACACCACGGCATTATGTATTTGATCATGTCTTAGTTGGACAATAATATACTTAGTTTTATCTAAATGTAGTGTCATATTGTATCATATAAAAAAATATTGTGTAGTTTCATTTCGTGTTGCATGAAATCATTATGCAGTGTATTTTACTGTACAGTACTGTAATGTACCTTTAGAACATTCACGAACCTTAAGAATATTTACACAACTTTAGAACATTGACACCTTTAGAACATTCAGACACCTGTAGAACAGTAACACACCTATGGAACATTCAAACACCTTGAGAATGCTGAAACCTTTAGAACATTTACACACCTTTATAGAAATGACACTGCTACACCTACAGTATGTTCACACACCTTTTGAACATTTGTACACCTTTGTAACATTTACACACCTCTAGAACACTGACAAACTTTTTGAACACTGACAACTTTAGAACATTTACACACATCTAGAACACTGACACACTTTTAGAACACTGACACCTTTAGAACACTGACACACCTCTAGAACACTGACACACTTTTAGAACACTGTCACACCCCTGGAACACTGACACCTTTAGAACATTCACACACCTTTAGAACACTGACAAACTTTTTGAACACTGACACCTTCAGAACATTAACACACCTCTAGAACACTGACACACTTTTAGAACACTAACATCTTTTGAACACAGACACACCTTCAGAACACTGTCACATCCTTGGAAAACTGACACTTTTAGAACATTTCCACACCTCTAGAACACTGACACACCTTTAGAACACTGACACCTTAAGAACATTTACATACCTGTACAACCCTGTTGTACCCTCGGAACATCCACACACCTTTAGAACCCTGGATAATTAAATACAAATATTTAAATCAAGTGTGGTGTGTCTAAATGAAAACAGTACATGAATACAGGTCAGTGTGAAAGTAAATCACAGTGTGTGTGATAGAGGAAAGAGTGTGTTAATAAAACCCTGTGTGTCAAAATGTTTGGAAATGTATTTGTAGATTTACACACATATATCACTAGTTTAAAAAAAAAAAACAGTTCTGGATTCAATAACCCTGCTGAGGCCCTGGTTCGATCACAGACAAATTTGTAAATTAATGAAAGTTTATATGTGCCATTCAATCATAAAGTGATAACGTGGTCCTGCTTATCAGCATAAATCTCTGCCCATTAATACACAGTGAACACCATATAAGGAGGTGTGGACATGTGCTTCCTGAAGACCTACAAGAGAAGGGAGAGAAGGAGTAGACAAAAAAAAAACAAAAAAAAAAACATTCAGATGCAAACAAAATAGTTAGTTTGGGTGACGTCAAATTACGTGAAAAGAAATACTTGATTTTCTCCTGTGAATAGTGGTGTGATACTTGCCTTTGGTTCACTATCAAAGGCCACGACTTGAGTGGGTATTCCTGTCTCCTATGGATAGGTTCGACTTTCAGTTAAAACACATGTACAAATCCCTGAGGTGCCAAGATTATACACAACATGTTTTCTTATGTAAAGCAAAGATTAGCGAATCAAGTAAGAGGTCAGAGACAGCTGTATATTTATACAGGATCAGTTGTGACGCCTGATCAAAGCAGTTAGACACTCACCTTTAGTCTGTTCCTTTAAGATGTGTGTTCAGGTGTAAGGATGGTCAGAGAGGCCAGGCAAGCAGGGCTAGGGAGTAAACAGCAGATTTGAACACAGCACCATGATGCATTCAAGGACCACCAGAGAGGCACACGCTTTACTGCAGAGATAAGAGATGGTAAACACAGCACCATGATGCATTTAAGGACCATCAGATAGACACACACACATTTCACGGCAGAAAAAGAGACAGTAAACACAGCACTGTGGTGCATTAAGGAGCTAAAAACTGTAGGTTAAAGTAACACCGTACTGTCCATTACACACAGTGACCATGTCTCTGTTTGAAGGACTGAGGGAATGAGGTGTGAAAGCATCATCATCTTTATCATCCTCATCAGGCTGCAGTTTCCCTCCACACAGGACACCAGCCTCAGCAAGACACACAATACCCCCCCCCCCCCCCAACACACACACACACACACACACACACACACACACACACACACACACACACACACACACACACACACACACACACACATCAAGGTCAGGAAGTGCTGTCACAGTCTGACAGTGAGTTCATCTTCAGGAAGAGGAGCAGCTCCTGTTACACTCCTGTCTGCCCTATAATCAGCCAATCAGGAGCTGGGATACTGCTGAGTCAGCTGCTCGTGTCCAAAGCTATGAGGTTTGGGGGGGTCTACTGTAGACAGCATCTGTATGAGTATGCTAATGCTAACTGTGAGACATGTGGCCCAATGTGCAATGTCCTGATGAAAGGTTAAACTGACAGATCATCACCACCACACACACAAATTCACTCTCTCTCTCTTTCCTCTCCAATGTTTCTCCTTTCATTCAGTTTGATTACTGATTATACAGGTGTGTGCTTGTGTGAGTGTGTGTGTGATAACTTTACCTGTGTGTAGACTCTTTTATCTCACACCGGTCTCTCTTACTCTGTCTCTTCCAGGTCCATAAGTTGTTCTCCACCTCCTGTACTCCTGGTCTCACCTTTGAAGAAGATCCTCTCTCTCTTGGCCTCACCTGTGGATAGGCTCCGCCCCCTTGAATGCTTTGCTAGAGCTGGTAAAATGGAACCAAATCAGCCGATGAATGGATTTGGTCCCCTTCAACCAGCTGTAGCTACGCATTGATCACACCCAGAGAGGGAGGACACAGAAAGGGGAGACGAAGAGGGGAAGCGCAAAGGGGGGACACAGGGAGGGGGGGGGCACAGAGGGGGAGATCATAGCAGGGGGGACACAGAGGGGAGGCACAGAGGGAGGACACAGAAGGGAGGCAAAGAAGGGGGACATGGAGAGGGTGTGATAAGGGGGGAGATAAGGATCAGTTAAGTGAGGGTGTGAAATAGGAGGTGAGGAGAAGTTGCAGGGGAGGTCAGAGAGGGGAGAAGGTAAAAAAAAGGAGATGAGGAGGAGATAGGAAAGGAGTTGAGGAGAAGTGGTTAGGAAAGGGTCAGGAGGAGTTGAGGAGAAGGTGGGAAGGAGGAGAGGGAGGAGGAAGTAAGGTAGGAGGAGCTAATAAATGGATGATATCACCATCACAGAGAAGGAGAGGAAACAGAAATTGAGCCTTCTTTGAGCTGACTCCTCACACTTTTTTAAACATAACAGTCCTCTTTTTTCTTTTCCTGTCTTTCTGCCTTTCTCCTCCTAACCCTGCCCTCCCTTCTTTTCTTTCCCTTCTCCCTTCTCCTCCAGTTGGAGGTGTGTCTAAAGTGTTAGAGCTCTCTGCTAAAGGCCTCATTTTTCTCTCTCATTGTGATTAATGGAGGGCAAGGATACTTCTTGGGTGGGGGGGTCAAGGCTCAGAGTTCAGTATAGACACATACTTAAATATACTTTATTATAATTATCAAGTCATGTAAATCTGTCTGCTCACATTGATAATTAAAGCTTGTGTTGGTTTTGGAGTTCAATGATGAGCGTACTGATGTTTACTCAAATAATGTGAATAAAAGTCTGTAAAAATATTTGTCTGTTTTCTCATTCATGGATTAGAACTCAGTTTCATATTTTTACTCTTATATTGTAAAAGTTGGTTCAGATTTCTGATTTTAAATACAGTTTTTGGTTAATTCCTTCATACTATCTTTATTACAGACCTCTGACAGCAGGTGGAGTCAGTAAGTCAGTCCCTGAGTAACACTGTTTTACAATAGAGAAGCTGGTCATGTGTTCTTAAAAGCTTTGTTATTTGATCGGGAGAGTTTTAAACTGTTTAAACTAACTTCAGAGAAGAAGCTGATCCGTGTCATAAATAAGTAAAGTCCAAACAAGGTAGACAAACTCTCAGATTCTCTGTGATTCAATTTATTGAAGTCATCCTCTGGCTCCTTCAGATAATACTTTAGTCACAGAAACAGTTTGTCTGATTTAAAGCAATTAAATTCAGCTTTAATGAAAACTGATAACCACTGTGAACATGCTATGTTAAGGCCTACTGTGTCACCCCCTGGTGGACAGATCTGGGCTTCATAGGAGAGTCCTGTCTCCACCTGTCCCTTCCTGAGCTTGGAGCAGGAGTCCTCTCACACAGCTTCTGTCTCAAAACTTAAATTCCCATCATCCTCAGCAAGCGCTTTCAGCTGATTCTGCAGACTGACTTCACTTTGTAATGTTTAAGCTTTGACATGAATAGGGGGAAACACACTCAGAATCCCTCCCACCTGAGCTGCAGTTATCAGCTGACATCAGGTGAGAAGGCGTTTCAGTGTTTAAAGGTTTCCTGTGTTTCTGTGAAACATCCTGAAAATATCAAAAACATGTTTGACCAGATCAGAGTCACAAAGCAGCTTCATTTATAATCAGACTCTCGTCCTCAGTCCAAACATCCTCCACATCACCTGAACTCAGGCATAAAGTATACAGGTACTTCGATGATCAACTCTATGACAGCAGTTTTTCTGTGTATCTTGACATGTTTGGTGTTAATGTGGTTGTCATCTGTAAATACTGAATCAGGAAATCAGAATGACTTCACTAAAATCTGAAACAGGAAACTGATCTCCACATCATGTTCGTGTTCATGAACTGATATGAACACCGTAGATGTCAGAGTTTATTTGACGCTGTGAAATTAAATTTATCTGTGTGTGTTTGTCAGAAAGAATCAGTGTACAATGAAGAGGTGAATTTCAGATTTGACAGGTCTATAAAGTTTGAGTACATTAGTTGTACCCTCTTTTTAGAGTTTTGAGAAACTCCAGCAGTTCTGAAAATGTTTATGATGTTTTAAATAAACTAGGGTTTACATTTTACAGAATAAGAGTGGGACTGATCTGGCTCTCATGAATCATTGCAATGAGGGTGAAGAATAGAGATGGGATGTTCTCGAATGAGTCAGTCATTTGAACGGCTCTTTTATGTGAATGATGAGAACTGGTTCACAGTGGCGAGCCGTTCATTTGCAAGCCATATGCAAATTGCCCATGCTGCCTTCACGTGTCACCTGTGTGCTTCAAACACCAGGTAGTGCAATTTGCACTCACGTTTTTATCATGTCTTAGTTTTTATCATGTCTTAGTTTTTTATCAGTTATCTGCAGCCTGTATAGTTTGTATTGTGCCACAGAGATTCTTTAGGTGAGGGAAAATTTCAAAATAGTGATCTCCCTGTCAAAGCACGGGGATATAGAACAACTGAATGGAATGTTTACAATGAAACCACAAACCAAATGAAATTAAAATCAATATACCTGAATTTTTTTCCACCCATGTGTCCCCCTGGCTGACTTCTAAAGAATAAATAAATATAACAATGAGCCAGTCTTTCAGAAGGCTCTTTGAAAGGAACGGCACCTCAAGATCCAGCTTCCTTCAAAGAGACATAAATTCTACCTCTAGTGAAGAAGACAATGAGAAGACAGCAATCACATGCTTAGGATGGAGAACAAACTGTAGATGTTAATCCTGTGATTTAAAACAATGTTCATTTTTATTCATAAGAAATACACAAAGTTTAACTGAACTCTGAACTCTTCACTTCTCATTCCTCCTCTCTCTTCACCCTCCTCCTTCCCAGTGTGTTAGTAAGAGCGGCAGAGGAGATAAACTGTGGAGGACAGCGCCCTCCTCTGGCAGTATAGACACAAAAAACAGAGGTCCTGCAGCCCTCAGTGTTTCAAATCAAATAACTATGGCTGATATAATTATCATTTTTAAAAATGAATAGGCTATTCTTAAATTTATTAATAATCAGAATACATAAATAATCAGATTCAAGATTTAAGCTTTTATATTGTCGATTTCTGCCAAACATGAGAACATACACAAGAATCGAAAAGGGTTTTTCTCTCTAGCCAATGGTGCAGAAGGCAGACTACATAAAACATGCGATAGAGAAAACTACAATACAGTAGAAGAGTGTTTTATATAAATGAATATATGTATGTGCACATTTACCCTCATGCCTACTGAGCCTATGTATATATACATTCACATACACATGCATAACCTGTGACCAGAGAAGTGATTCTGCTGTACACATTTACTCATGAGTGCAGGTGGTGTTTGCAATCTGCAGTATTTCTTTGGTGTAAATTGCATGTTGGGTTGAGATGGGTTCAGAATCTGATGTTTTCAGATTATGTTGGGGGCAGAGGTTTGCAGAGGGGAGACAGAGTTCAGCTTTCTGAGAGCAGGCCCCAAGGCTCTAGTACCTTCTCCCAGAAGGCCAGAGACTAAACAGGGTGTGCAAGGGGTGGCTGGAGCCCCTTGCAATGCTAACTACTTTGTGGGTGAGGCAGGTATTGTCAAGTCCAGGAGGGAGGGGAGTAAGATACCAATGATCTTCCCAACTGTGTTCACTATGTGTTGTCCTGTTCTGTTCTGTGCAGCTCCTGTACCACACAGTGACACAGCTGGTCAGGATGCTCTCAACGCTGCCTTAGTAAATGATGCACATAACGGGTGGGGGAGCTCTTGCTCTCTTAAGTCTGTGGAGGAAGTAGAGGCACCGCTGGGCTTTCTTCACCAATGATATGTGGTTGGCTGCCCAGGAAAGGTCCTCACTGATATCCACCCCCAGAAATCTGGTGCTGCTCACTTTCTGCACATCAGCATCATGATGATCAGTTGGGGGTACTGGGTGTTGCCTCTCCTGATGTCCATAACAATCTCATTAGTCTTGTCCATGTTCAAAAGGAGATTGTTATGGCTGAACCACATGAGCAGATGGCTGACCTCCTTCCTGTAGTATATTTCATTGTGGTTGGAGATTAGACCCACCACAGACATATCATCCACAAACCTCACTCATCTCATGTGGTTGGTGCTGAATGTTGGTGTGCAGTCTTGGGTCAGCAGGGTGAAGAGCAGGGTACTGAACACACATCCCTGCTGGGCTTCTTGAGGTGTTATTGCCAACCTGTGCTACTCCTAGCCTCTTGCTGAGAAAGTTCACCAACCATTTGCATAGAGAGGTGTTGAGTCCTAGATGGTCCAGTTTGATGATGAGCTGATTTGGGATGATAGTGTTGAATGCTGAACTGAAATCTACAAACAGCTTTCGTACAAGTCTTTAGTGTCCAGCTGGATGAAAGCAGGGTTGAGAGCAGCACAGATTGTATCCCTGGCCAACTGGTTGCCTCAGTATGTAAACTGGAATGGTCTAGTGTGGACAGGAGGATGGACTTATACGAGACATGACTAATCGTTCAAGGCACCTCATGATGTTGGGGCGAGTGGTCATTGAAGGAGGTTGAAGTGGATTTCTTTGGCACAGGAATGATGGTGGTGGTGGTTTTGAAACACAATGGAACAACGGCCTGGCTCAGGGAAGTGTTAAAGATGTCCGTGAAGATGTCTTTGAGCTCCTCTGCACAGTCCTTCAGCACACGTCCAGGACTGTTGTCTGGACCTGCAGCCTTGTGGGTGTTGCTGGTTGGGAGTGTCTTCAATGGACATGTGCTGTTCTGTGCTTCAAACCAGGCAAAGAGGCCGTTGAGGTTGTTCAGCAGAGGGATCTTGCTATCACAGACTTGCGGTCAGGGTTTGTGGTTTGTGATGGTCTGTGTGCCCTGCCACAGGCTCTGTGTATCTCCGCTGTCTATAAAGTGTCTGGTTAATCTCTTTGTGTAGCCCTGTTTAGCTTTCCTGGTACCTCAGGAAAGGTTGAGACTAACTCTTCTCAGGCCATCTGCATCTAAAGGCAGGGCTCCTGACCTCTCCGGTCAGCCAGGACTTCTGGTTAGCTCTGGTGATGATGGTCTGTTTGTGGGTTACATCATCGATGCATTTCCTGATGTAAGATGTGTCACTGTCTGTGTACTCCTTAATGTCCATGTGGCTGTTGTGTGTGGCTGCTTGCTTGAACACTTCCAAGTACGTAGTGTCAAAGCAGTCTTGAAGTGCAGAAGAAGCTCCTTTTGGCGTTAGGATGGGGTTTGGTTGTCTTCACTCAAGGCTAGTATGCTGGTCTGAGCAGAATGGCGATGTATGTAGAGTCTGTGGAGAGGAGAAGCCTTGTATGCTCCTTTTTTAAGTTGTGTAAACTTAAACTCTAAGGTGTTGTTTCCTCTGGTTGGGAAATCAACATGCTGGTGTAGATGTGGAAGGAAAGTCTTAAAGTCTTCATGATTCAAATCAACAGGGAGGATGAGAAAGTCATCCGAATGATGTAAGGTTTTTATCTGTAAAGTCACTTCCTGTGACAGTTATGATGTGGCCTCCCTCACCACTTTTGTACCTATGAAGTCCTCAGTCATCATTTAAACGGCAGTCACCGACTCCTCTTTGTGGTTTAAATCAGTTTCATTCTGAATGGTTATCCTCTGTTTAAACCGTTTTTTGAGGGGATCAGCTGTCAATTTAGATCTCTCCCTTTTCTCTAAAATAGTTGCTGGTCTCTGAGGCAGACTTCCTCTTTCAGTGACACTGAGGTCTCACTCTCACATGTAGCAGGTTGTCGCAGCACAGATATAACTGAGGGTTATTTTCTGTTACTTGAGTTCAATTTATGGTTAACGCTGCAGTACAGAGCATCTCTTTCCACCTTGTGGTTAGTAAACTCTAACTGAAAGTGTAATCTGCAGACATGTGGTCTCATATTTTTCCATTTCATTTTCCCTGTAAAGAGGAAACACTGAGTGCACACTGCAGCCTGACGCTCAGACCTGCTGTGTTACATTAATTTATTTGTCTTATTCCATTTAGTTGATAATCTTGGATTCTTTTCAGTTTATCTTAAATTTCATGGTGGTCACGATGAACCCCAGACAGAGCTGCTCCATCACAGGAAACCTGAGTCTGCAGGTTCCTTGCTCTGATTGGTCCGTTGCTGATAGCGCCACAGAAACAAAGGTATGAAGGGTGATTATTGCCACACTGTGATGGAGACTCATTGGCTTCTGTATGGGAGGATCCCCCTCATGTATGAGGGGCGATTTATGCCACAAACCAACAGAATCCTTGCACTGAAGACCTTCCCCTGATAGATGAGGGGTGATTGTTACCCCACAGCCTGAAACACGAGAGCTTATGTCCTCTGAGGTCAGTAAATCTCTGGTATGAGGGATAATTAATTCTCTACATGAAAACAGCTCCATGACCTACCCTCTCTTATTCTTAATTTCAATGTAATTATTTACAGTGCCTCTAAATTTAAATCAAGAGTTAGAGTTGATGAACTTTGTCCAGAATTTTACTGAGCTTCTCCAGTAAACACCCCTCTGGAAAAGGCTGCCAGGACAGTATGGCGGAACAACTCGAGTCTTTTTTATTTTGTTTTATCGTTGCTAACTCACACACACACACACACACACATTCGCTGCCTGCTACAGCTTTGTAGTTTCGATTAGCTGAGACTAGTATGTTGTAAACCCGCAACAAACACAAAAATACAGGTTTAACTAACAATGGTATAACACAAATTCACAAATATCCATAGAACACCACTTTACAAACATCACCCACCGACACAGTATATGAAAAGTGTAAATGTGTTGAAATCCAGAAATAGTGTTGGCAGCTGATAATTCAGATTTATGAAGCTGTGCACACTCACATAAGATAATATAAACCCTTGTCTATTCAATGGTGAGGCAATTTGCACCACTTACAGTCTGCATACAGATGTTATCAGCCGCAGACTCCACCCACTACATGCCAACATTTATACAAAGATGGTCTATGCAAAGTGGCTGATGAATGAAGATTGACTATATAAGCCACAGGTCAAAGGTCATCACTAAGAATCATAATTACAATAGAGAAGAAGACATTTAAGGCCAAGTGTGAAGAAGCTGCTGTTTCAGTCGGTGTGTTCAGCTTTAAATCAGGTCAGTGGCACTGATCACCCGGCATACACATACACACTGACACAGCCTCTCTCTCTCTCTATCCCTCTCTCTCTCTGTGTCCCCCCTCCCTCCCTCCATCCATCTCTAACCTGCAGCGTTTCAGTCTGAGCCTCACTGATCGTCTGGATGTCAAAGGAAACACCATGCTTGGAGGAAGAGGAGGATGATGAAGGTGTGTGAAGGTAAGACTGTCTGATTGTCTTTGTTTCTGTGTGTGTCTGTGTGTAAGCGTGTGCATCTAAGTGATGCAGCTCCTGCTCTTCCTCACAGCGTGTAGTCTTCCTCAATATGTCTGACACATGGTGTGGTGATCAGTGTGCTCACAGCTTCCTCATCCTCACAGCCTCCTTCTCCTCACAGCATCTTTGTCCTCACAGCCTCCTCTTCAATCTTCATCACAGCCGGCTTGTCACAGTCTCCTCTTCATCAGCTGTGTTACAGCCCTGCAGTGATCCTCCTCATCCAGACTCTGAGGTCCTGGATCAGATTCAGACTCAGACCTGAGACAGACTGCAGAGTGTGTGCGTCTGTGTGTGGGGCCATCTATGAAGGTGGTCCTCAAGTGTTCACTCGGACAGTTTGATGCTACCTGCTCTGCTTCTTGTCACATGATCATGACCCACTCATGATGCTGCTGTGGTCCCACACACACACAGAGACACACACAGATCTGTACAGACAGTTGTAATCTGAAGGTTTACTCAACACAGAGTGTGGTGGACAAGTCAGGACTGCAGGCAGGCCCGTTTAGCAGCAGGACTCTTCTACTGTAGAGCCATGCTGTTGTAATATGGGTAGTTTTGCTCTAATTTGAAGTTCGTCACTGAAAAACTGAAATGAGTCTGAGGATCAGGATTCTGAAATGTGGGATTAAAAAAATTAAAAAAAGAAATGAGCAGAGGTAAACTGTTCAGTGACACTCATGCCATACCATCTCTCACCTGGAAAAGGGAACCAGGGTCACCTGAGGCTGCTCTAAGGTTACCTGGAGAGAGAGAAACAAACTCTCAGCAGGTAACAGCAGTGATGTCACAGAGTCATACAGGTGGGGTCACCTGAGATTAAACTCATTCAGCAGGTGAGATGTTGTATGTCCAACAGGTGAATCTGCTGGTTGAACCTCAAACAGTAGAGGAGTGTTAATGAAATCTGGCGCATGAAACCTGTCTGTTGTCTCTTTCGTCTCCATTGTCACAGAGTGCGGCTCTGTGCAATCAGGTTACCTGTAAGCACACCTGGTGTCCACAGAGGCCCAAACAGTATTTGTGCCAGCTTCACCGGGAGAGATCAGGTTTCAGGCAGTTTGTTTTTTTAATGTGATATCAAGGATGAAGGATGAAGATAATGCTGGCGCAAACAACAGGAAGACACGGTAATTCAATAATCTAACTCTGTGATCAGTTGAAGATTAACTTTTAATGCCTCAAACTGTTGTGAGAGGACGGGGTCAGAGCAGATGATTGACAATTCTGTCTGTCCCTGTGTTTTCGCTCAGCTCCAAATGTTGGTATTTTCTTCCTCTGTCCCTGCCACATGTTTCGATGTACATTGTCATCCTCTCTCCATATTGTTTAAAACACAGTAGCACCCCCTCATCTGGTGTTGAGGTGGTGTAATTACAGGTTCAAATCTTCAGACTTTGAACATTATTTTGTGTTTCTCTTGTTAAAAATTACACCAGGATGAATATCTGTCTGGTTTTATCAGTTCAGTGGGAGGTCGGGTGTGACGGGGTTGTGTGTCTGTCTGATGATCTTCACACGTTGCACACAGGCCTCTTGGTTTAGGGTCGGGGTTTATGGATTGTTATGCGTTATTGTTTTAAACAGCAGAGCGGGGATAAGGAGGTTATGGGGGTGGGGTGTAGGGGGGTGCTACATGTTGCCTGGAGGTCACTTTATGTTGTTTAGTTGCTGTTGCTCTCTGAGCTGCTGTCATGCAAAACATCATCATTACTGGGTCACTAATCCCCCTCCCCCACTACTGCTCCATCCCAGTCTGTGTGGAAGTTGTGTGCTACACAGACTGGGACTTACTGGGAGGACTGGAGCTGGGGAGCTGGTGTTTGTATTTGTCAGGATTTCTCTGAACTGTTAGAAATCATCACTATACTCTAAATCAGTGTCCTCAGCAGTCACAGACCTGTCAGCAGTCTGTGTGGTGATTGAACTGTTCACCTGTCTGTTCACTCGCACACACTCCACCCTCACTGTAGGACAGAGTCTTCTTGAAGTTCAGAGTTTCTTAGATGGCAGAGAAACTAGAATGAAAACTGGGCTGATTCTTATCCTGCTGTGGATCATGATGTTGTTTTCACCAGGGAGACCTGTATCAGGTACCACCAGGTAGGACAGGAGAACAACAGGTGAAGACAGACAGAGACACACCCATATTGTTCTGGCTGATTGGTCACTCAGTTGAGACCACACCTATACAGGTGCCAGGCAGGTTAGGTTCCAGATTGAACTCACCGAGTATAAAAACCCTGCCCACTGAGCTCTCTCGAAAAATGGCTTGTCCGTTCTTGGAGGATCCTATAGACCTCGGTGCTCGCATTGTCCGTGGAGCACTCCGGCGCGCAAGAGTTTTCAGGGACCGCACGGACCCACTTACTTTTCTGGATGACCACCTTTATGAAAGGCTCATATGGCCGACATATCACACAAAAAATGTAAACATGATAGGAATGAACAAATAAATGAATTCATCTTGGAAATGAATTAGACATGTCTGGTGTATGTTCAAAGCGCATGTTGAACGGTGCTATTTCAGGGTGATAATGGCATCAAAGATTTTTTGCGCACTCTACTTACGCATTGAGACTGTCAGCAATTTTCTGCCAGCATTCCTTCTGTGCTTTTTAGCGGCGACGGTGTTGCTTTTGAGGTTTATGATAGATTTGAATTCTTCATACTTTCTCATGATCATCTCCTGCTCCTCGTTTGTACAGTACACTTTTTTTGCTCTCCGGCCTGCTCTAACGCTCCAGACTGGTCCATGTTCGCGATTGGTCAGATGCGGCGGACTCCGCCTGCGTGCACGCGCTCATAGCAAAGCTGGATCCACTTACAAGGTTGATAACCAGCGTCGTAAGACCGTTTAGTGAGACCGCTGGCTACCTCGCTAAGTTGAGCGAGGTAGCTACCTCGCTAGGTCGAACTTGCTTCGTAGATGAGGCCCCAGGACACAATATTTACATGCACCAACACAAAACCAGGATAACATCAGCAGTGTTGGGTCTTATTGACTGTAGTTTACTGTTGTCATGTGACCACTGATCCTGACAGACATTCTTCTTCACTGCTCTGCAACTGTGCCAGCTCCCCAGCAGCCATGATTCCTGCACAGAGGAGTAAACAGGTTTATTATCAGATCACAGTCTCAGTCTGACACAATGCTCATATCTGAAGACCGTCAGTGAAACCTTAGACCGCCAGGGAGCTCATGTAAACTGGGACACCTAACCAACACTATTGAAACTCCTCCTCAGAGAGAACCACTTGTCTGCTATCAGTTCACCATAGCCTCATTGACACATCACACACACACACACACACACACACACACACACACACACACACACACACACACACACACACACTCTATCAGTGTGTGGTTATTGTTCACAGATTCTTTCATGAATCTGTTAAAGTTTAAGAAGTCTTTGTTTAAGAAGGAAACTCAGTCAGAGACAAACAAAGATCCTGCTGAGAGCGAGAACAACAAAGCCAGTCTAACACAATACAAATACAACACTACACACACACACACACACATACAGTGAAAACATGGAATCACAGAGAATATTTTCAGAGTGAGATTTCTAGGCAACAAGGAAACAGACACAAATTAAGTGTCGCGCTAGCTCAGGCTGACCCTAACACCAGACCACATCTGCTAACAGTTCAGCCGATTACCCTCTACCATCATGTCATCAAATGTGAAAACTTTTGTTTAAATGTCTTCGGCCTGCCTAATCTTCCTACATCCTGAGCGAACAACTTTGCTGATGCTGTCCCCACCATGAAGAGGTCATGTCTGCACATGTGAAGGGGAGGGGGCCTTTGCTGTGTGAACTCTGGCGTCCCACATGAGCATGTTGAAGGGCAGAGAACTCTTACTGTCTCCACACACCAAGCATGAATTACATGTTTAGTCAATGCAATGACACGATCAGATGCTCCTACTCTGGCGGCGGGTGCAAATGACGCGAATTAGGCAGGAGCTTAAATGTCTCAACATGAGTGGATATTCACTTTGTGATAACTAATCAGCACGAATGTTGCCGGACGCGGTATGAAAACAATTGGTTGTTCACTGGTATCTAAAATGGATGACAAACTGATTGTGTGGGTGTGTGGCTGCCCCAAATTATATGATACCTTTTCTTTCAATTACTGAAACCAGAATAAAAAGGAGCTCGCCTAGACGCAAGTGAGAGAGAAGAACGGATTACCTGGTAGGTTGTAGAAAACCTTTGTCTATCACTTGATCCCGCCGGTTGAATTTGCAGGGGTTACTGTCGAAATTACTGTTGACGCACGAAGGAAGCGAGTAAATACGATTCATTCACATGCCTAGATTTGTGCGAATCAAGCAAGGAGATAATTTTATGTGCATGTAAAAATCATGTAAAAAATATTATTTGTTCTGACTTAAATAGCTAAACTAATGAATATGATAATTATGAAGATGAGGCCCTGAACTGTTTGCTGCTGAGAGATTGAGACCAACTATTCAGCTGCTCGTTTTCATCTGATCCTCACACTCAGAAATAATCAGGTTTGAATGGAAGCCAAGGTCTGAGTCCAATTAAAATTTTCTGTGTGATTATTATAATAATATAATTACGATGACCAACAGTGTTTGCAAATGAACAGACTGCATGATGGATTGACCTGGTTTCACTGTCTGAGAAGAACTCTTCCGTTTCGACTTCAGACTTGACCTGTTCCACCCAGCGTCATGGGTGGAGAATCATTAACACTAACCTGAGGAGAGAGAGTCTTTAACTACAGCTTAACCAGGACACGGTTTACAGTGAATAATGGTCTGCCCACACCTGTCCACATCTGCTGTTGCCTGACTGAATTGCGTTTTTTTTTAAATGCAATGAATTATATTGGTTGGTATGACTGTCTTTTGAGAGCTACACCCATAGGATCATGTGGAATACCAAAGTCTGGGGCAGGGAGAGCAGAAGCAAATACTCTGGGGTACAGGACAGAGCAGCATCAGTGATAATCTCTGATAATCTCAAACAGCATTAGGTGGGGAGAATATCAGCTAATAAATGAGCAAGGTGACCAACAGGAATCCTATTCTTTTTGAGCACCATGGTTAGGAGGATAAACTATAAACACAGTACTGTGTTTATCGTTTATCCTCCTAACCATGGTGCTAAAAAAGAATAGGATTCCTGGTATAATAAAGGTAGGTGTGTTGGCCTGATAAACACAGTATTTTCATACTGTGTTTATCAGGCCAACACACCTACCTTTATTATACCAGCACACTTGTATTTGTCAGAGTGACACATCCAGGTGTTTGTCTTGTATGTAAATGTGTCTGAACCGAATCAGGTTATTTCAAAAGTTCACTTTTTACTTCTGTTTCAAAAGTTCACTTTGAACTTCTGCTCTATGAATGTCTTACTGTTAGTACATGGTACACTATTGGACATAAACACACACACACACACACACACACACACACACACACACACACACACACACACACACACACACTGAAGGTTTTTACAGGTCAGTCAGACCCAAGAGATAAGAGTGTCAGTCTGTGTCAGCTCAGCTTGCTTTAAGATTTAACTGTTGATGGTGTGTGTGTGTGTGTGTGTGTGTGTGTGTGTGTGTGTGTGTGTGTGTGTGTTTGTTGTGAATGCTGTGTGTTTATATGCAGTGTGTATGTTGTATTTGTGTTTATTGGTTGTATGTCATGTGTCAGTTGTGTATATACAGTGTGTTATAGATGTTAAATGTGTATGATGCGTGTATGTTGTCATGTTTCAGGTTGTGTGGCTGTTTTGATGACCTGTGGGATGGTCAGGTGAACTGTTGAGCTCTTTTTGTGTTTCTGTCCTCAGTGTCACTCAGAGTCACCATGAAGCTGTCTTGTACACCTGTACAGATTTGTCCAGGTGATGAGGATCACATAAGGACAGATGGGTAACCATGACGTTGAAACCTGCAGACTGACAGAGTCCAGATCAGACTGTCTGTGAGCTTCATGCTGATCCTGATCTGGTTTTAGACTCTGCAGTGGACCAATCCATTTTTCAGACCCCTCACTTACTTCCTGCTTCCCCTGAACCCCCTTCTTAGCCCTCCTACCCCACAGTCTGGGAGATGCCGGTCCTGCTGAACACTGACGCCTCCTTCAGCTCAAAGCAGGAGCTGCTGGATCTGCAGGATGGTCCTCTTGGTGGGGGTCTGTCTCTGGACTCCCCCAGCCCTCCTGGTTCTCAGACGAGCAGCCCACTGGACTCTGGGCCCAGGAGCCCTGGCAGCCCCGATGGGCCCCTGCGGCCCCGGATCTTCACCGGGGCCTCCTCTCTGCCCAGCCAGCTGTACGGGGGTCTGGGCAGTGCCCAATTGGACCTTTTGTCTACAGACTCTGATCAGCTGTGTGGATGGGGGGCTCTGACACCCCGGGTGATGCAAGTCTTCAACACGCCCCGCTGGGTGCTGGTCTTCCTGTGTGCAGCATCCTTCCTGCAGGGGATGATCATTAATGGCTTCATCAACACTGTCATCACTTCTATTGAGCGGCGCTTTGACCTGCGCAGCTACCAAGCCGGCCTGGTGGCGAGCTCCTACGACATCGCTGCCTGCCTCTGCCTTGCCTTCGTCAGCTACTTTGGGGGTACGGGGCACAAGCCGCGCTGGCTTGGCTGGGGGGTCCTGATAATGGCACTGGGCTCTCTTGTGTTCGCCCTACCCCACTTTACCTCGCCGCCCTACCAAGTGAGCCTTCCTGAGCGCTCTGGACTCTGCTTCACCAACCGCTCCACCACCTGCCATGACCAGGAGGGGGCAGGGCTCTCCAGCTATCGCTTTGTCTTCATGCTGGGTCAGTTCCTGCACGGGGTGGGGGCCACGCCGCTCTACACACTTGGGGTCACATACCTGGATGAGAATGTCAAGTCCTCCTACGCCCCTGTCTACATTGGTGAGTTAAGGGTCACCTGATCAAAGAGGCGGAGCCAACAGTTAAACCAAAAAGTTTGTTTGTATGTCTTCTTGTTAGTAAACTAATTCAGCTAGAAAGTGTGTTTGTTAGTGACTGGGACAATAAGATAGCTAGTGTGTCAGCCAGTTTTTTATTTAGCAAATTGGTCAGTCAGCCAGTCAGTCAGTCAGTTAGTTTACTTACTAACCTACTATTGTTAGTTAGTTAGTTATCTAGTTAGCCAGGAGTCACAGCACACTGAATGCAGCACCAGCCCCTTTAGAATCCTTTAGATGCTCCTTCTGTCTCACAGCAACACTCTAGCTCAGAGGATGAGTTAGGACCCACTGTGTGGGGTTTAGAGGCAACTTTGAAATAACACAGAAAGCTTGGAAAAATAAGCTTGATGGCCAATCAAAACTACTTAAAAAATTGCAATAAAAAATAAAAATAAGTAAAATAAGAAAAATAAGAAATAAAGTAACAAACTTAATCTCGGTCTGTTGAATAGTTGAAGTTGCAATACTTGAACTCAGACAATGTTAAAGAAAAATCAATGAATTTGAACAAACATGTGACTGAAACAAAAGAACTAAGAAAAACTAAGATTGAGTGGGAAAGAGGGTAAGAAGTGTAGTGACTGAAGAAATGCCAAGATTGAAAGAAGGCTGAGTGCTCAAAGAGCAAGCGCCTCACTTTGCAGATTTTATGATGTTCCAAGCTGGGAGTGTTTCTGGTGTGTGTGTGAGAGAGAGAGACGGAGCAGAGGGAGGAGGGGTCACTGGTCTCCTGTTGTAGCTTCTTGGAAGGAGACCTTCATGAACTTTGATTATGTGATCCAATTTATACTTTTGGCAGGTAAGGGAGTCAGATCTAATTCTTACTCACTATGATTAATGCTATTGAATGTTTTGTTCAGAATAAATGATTTGATGAACACATGTAGGCCCTAAAGAAATGTAGAATCAGGTTGACAAACATTCTCATTATGTTGTATTATCAGTTTCAAAAGAACATTGATCATGTTAGATGACTCTGAAATATAACACATTAAAACATAGAAACAATGAACAAGAGTAAACACACATACATAAACCTCATTATGATTGATAATTGATTGTCAATACTTATACAATCAGATTATTACAAACTATTCCTGTTTCGCAGAGTAAGGTTATGACTCATATTTAATCATTTTACTCTCAAAAGTACCCAAAACAGTCTGGGAAGCTGGGAATAAAGGCTTTATTCCGTCAGTGTGAAATCTTAGCTCACTGACGACAGTATGTAGAAAAACCGGACACATCTCAGTTTAACACAAATTTTGTAATGAGAAATCATCTTGAATTGTTCAGTACATCAGATGTCATTATCAGTCATTTGTATTCTTTTAGTTTTAGCAGTATATGGTTCAGCAGGGGTTTATGAGAGGTCTCATCTGTGTCCATGGGTCAGATACTGTTACCTGTTTAAACCTTAAACTAACTCAGTCCTGGTCAGTAAAAACCAGGACTGACCCTGACCTCCACGACCTGATCTCAGGTCTGAAGAAAAGTCTCTGATGACCTTAACGGACTCGGGCGACTTCACACAGGAACAATAGATGCTTTCAACCTGCAGGACAGGAAGTACACCACCTGCAAACAGGAAGTGCACTGTTCCTGTTCTGACACTCCCTGACTTTGAGCCTGTGTGTGTGTTTGTGTGTGTGTGTGTGCTCTCAGGGATCTTCTACACGGCAGCCATCTTGGGTCCAGCAGCAGGTTACCTGCTGGGAGGTTACTTCCTGAACATCTACACGGAGATTGGCATGACGTGAGTCTGACATAATAATAATAATAATAATAATAATAATAATAATAATAATAATAATAATAATAATAATAATATCTTTATTTATTGAGCACCTTTTTAATGCTGCTATAGCATTAATTGAGTAAAGACCAGTGTGTGTGTGTGTGTGTGTGTGTGTGTGTGTGTGTGTGTGTGTGTGTGTGTGTGTGTGTGTGTGTGTTTGTGTGTCAGGACCGAGATGACTCCAGAGAACCCTCTCTGGGTCGGGGCCTGGTGGATTGGGTTCCTGGCTGGAGGAGCAGCAGCTCTACTGATAGCGTTCCCCATTCTGGGCTTCCCCCGGCAACTGCCAGGTAACTCACCTGTGCAGGAAAGGAGTTAATGAAGTTAAAGCTAGCTTATAGTTCAGTTTCTGATGTAAACTGTCCCCTACTGCAGGATCTCAAGAGCTGGTGTCCTCGAGGGTCTCTGAAGCCCACCAGCTGAAGGACGGCAGCCACACCACGGCCTCAGACCCACAATTTGGAAAATCTGTCAAAGACATGCCCAGGTAAGAACACCGGGCACAAGAGGTTAACTGTTAGTATATGTCACAGCTCTGGGTTTAAATAAAGTTTAAACAAATACAGCTGTTCCATCAAAGAGGTGGACAGGTACCTGTCTCACCTGAGAGGTCTGGTAAATGTTGAAGGATTAGGTTGATCCTGACCCTCATCCTGACCCTCATCCTCAGTCATCTCAAGTGTCAGAGAGCTCTAGATCGAAAAAAAAAAAAAAATCTCTGTCTGACAGAAAAAAGGGGGAAAAAATCTATAATTTTCCATTATAGATGTATTGTTGTTGTTTTGCTCCCCATGAACTATTTATTAAAATCATCCCTGTTTTACAGTTAAGATAGGGGAAAATCTTCTTTTATTTCAAAAATCAGAAAAACCCTTAAAAATAAACATGTGGTAGTGCCTTTTGCCCCCTGATGATATTTAACGATGGAATATTTTTAACACAGTCAACTCATTCTGACTAATGTTTTACAATAATAATGTTTCCACTCAATCCTAACAACTGTGTGCAGTGAAATACATCAACTCCCTTACAAACTGTGAAAAACAAAAATGCATGTTGCTCACACTTTTAGCTAAAGCTGCATTTTTGTGTCATTGTGATCGTCAGCAGTAGTAAGTAGCTCTCGAAAACAAACATCCTCCAGATACTCAGATCTCATTAACACAGGGTCAGGATCTCAGAGGCTATACCAATCACTTTAGAGCCCGTCTGAACAGTTCTAAGGTTTATTTTACCTCAATAAGAGGTCCCCAGATGGTTTAGATCTCTCTGAGTGCTTATAAAGGGGCTTAAAAGAGATAATCAAAGTAAATTTCCATTACTAAATGGCATATTCAGTGATATTAATGTAGTTAAACATATTTTCATATTGTTAAATTATAAAGGGTCTTTCTGCTGTGATTGGTAAAATGTTTTTACGAAACGTGTGAAACAAGGGTATAATCAATGAGCTCATTTATTTTTAATAAATAAATCTGATCATTGTTAATAAAGACTGGGGTGGTGTTCATGACAGGTGAGTAAACTGTTAACATGTTTCACACATTTTAACACATTTTACCCTTGGGGTGAATCTGAAAATGATTTACATAAAATTGTTTGTAAAACCTGTCAGTGAGTTGACCTGTCTTCTAGCACCACCATCAGGCCAACATTTTAAAGTAGAATTAACCTCAATGACCACCAGAGGCTGACCCCAGGTCAGTTTATCCCCGAGTTTATGACGTCATCAGTGACATCACTATCTGGGATTACAGACAGACAGACAGACAGAGGCGGTATTTAGACCTCGTTATGCAACAGGATATGTTTATCAGGACCCACTGAGCATGCTCAAATCACACACTCAAATATATTTGATTAAAGACAGTGAGATTCACTGCCTGTTTATTTCAACAACACCCCCCATCCCCCCAAACGTCACCCCTCACCCTCTCTCTCCTTCTATCCCTCTACCTCGCTCTCACCCCAGGTCTGTGCTGCTCCTGCTGAAGAACCCGACCTTCCTCTTTCTCTGTCTGGCGGGGGCGACCGAGGCCACCCTGATTGCCGGCATGTCTACGTTCGGTCCAAAGTTCCTGGAGTCTCAGTTCAGCCTGAGCGCCTCAGAGGCCGCCACCTGGTTTGGTGAGAGGACATGAGGGATGTTTTAGGACCTGGTCAGGGTCAGAGTCCTTCAGAGACGTAGGAAACATTCAATAGCCATGATCTGACAGTTTCCTAAAGATGGGGAGGAGCCTGTTTGAGGAACATAAACAGAGGGTCCGAGTAGCGCTTATTAAAAACATGTTTCCTTATTTCAGAGATAAGTGAGACACTAACAAACAGCCAAATGAGGGATTAAACTACGGACTAGTTCAAATAGTTTGCAGCCTTCAGGCTCCGCCCACACGCATGTGAAAATTTAAAACCACATATTTTGTCTCTGTTTTATCCTCACAGCTGCATAAAAACACAGACTGAATTTACTGCAAATTGAATTATAATGATAATAATCAATAATAAAAGTTATAAAAAAACAGTTATAATAGTAATAGCAGTTTTACAGTCATACATTTAATCTATGACACTCTTTACATTTAAAGTAAATCTCATGGTGCCAAAGATGGAGGTCAAAAGAGAGCATCATGGGAACATGTCAGAAAGTAACATGGTTATGAGAGCGACAAATAACTCCTACTGATACTTCACTGTGAGTAAATAATAAATCACCCTGATAACAAATGCTGTTTACAATCAACACTTGTGTTCTTCTGCTGTGTCTGACAAACTGATCACAGTAAAGCCTGACTCTCCGGTCCGAGGACATAAAACAACAGGTGAGAGTTGGTGCAGTCAGAGCATTATCAAAGCATGTTTTACACAAACCCACCTCCCTCCTTGCAGGTTACATGGTCGTCCCTGCAGGGGGTGGCGGTACCTTTCTGGGCGGGTACATCGTGAAGAGGTTAAACCTACGCTGCAGAGGAATCATCCGATTCTGCATGATGTGTGCGACTGTCAGCCTGCTCGCCAACTTCATCTTTCTCATCCACTGTCCCAACCTTCCCGTGGCTGGAGTCACCACCCCCTACCAGACTGACCACCAGCCAGACCAGTCCCAGTACCTCCAGAACCAGTTCCAGCAGCAGCTGTATGGGTCTGAGCCGCTCAGCTTTCAGCAAGAATTAAACAGGTGAGTTTGACCTGTTGTTTTCATTTCAATATAAATCAGAGACGCTCCCTTTGACTCAGTGGATTCAAAAGAAAAAAAAAACAGTCAGATCCATCATCAGATTATCAATCTAATCTTAATGTTTCATCTGATAATCTGACCCTGACCCTGATCTCAGCACATTAACTCACTACCCTGAGCGTGTGATGGAGCTCAGTGTCAGTTTGACAAATTTATCTTCTTATTCGTAAGTTTTTCAATAACGTGTGTCCAGGTATGTCTCCCTGCATTCGTTTGTGACTCTCTCTGATCAGCAGGTTAAAACATTTTGTCCTTCTCAGCTCATCCCCGCAGGTGTCTTTGTCAGCGCACTGTAACTCAGACTGCAAGTGTGTCAGAGACCTCTACAACCCCGTCTGCGGTGCTGATGGCATCATGTACTACTCACCGTGCCACGCCGGCTGCAGCTCCACAAACATCAGCCACCACTCGTCCAGCCGACAGGTAATACTACAGACACTCACAGACAGGGGAGACCACAGACACTTATGGACAGTGTGTGTACCTGTTAAAGTATGTGTTTACATATGTGTGTGTTTATCTTAATTAGTGTTTTTATACATTTGTGTATCTGCAGGTGTACTCTGGCTGTACCTGTATCCTCAGTAACCATTCACGGTCAAGTGATGGCATCGCTCTGGCGGGAAAATGTAGCAGCACGTGTCGCCACATGCCAGTCTTCCTGGCTTTCTTCTTCATCCTAATCCTCTTCACCTTCCTCTGCAGCATCCCAGCCCTCACTGCTACGCTCAGGTGAGTCCAACCAGTGAAGTTCCAGTGTGATGATTGGTCCCAATGGTCGGTTTTCACCTGGTTTAAGTTAACGGTTAACTGTTAACTCATCCAGTGCGAGCGTGACTCTCAGCTGGTGATGATGGAAACTAGTCCGGGAGTTTTCATACAGACACACATCAGTCAGTCTGCTGTTCACACCTGTGCAGGTCAAACTCTATTGTTTAACCCCCACAGAGTCAGGACCAACACTCAGGACCTGATTTAAGTATTTAAATTTTTTTCAGTGTCTGTTTTGCAGTCTGAGTCACAAGTTTTATCTACAGCTCAAGTGGTCGCATACCGTCACGATCGGTTTATCCTCTGTGTTCCTCAGCTCTGTCGGTCTGTTGTTGACTTACATTACAGGGATATCTCCATGCTGATTTGTTATCATAGCACCAACATTTGCTTAAGTTGAGGTATTTGAAACTCTCGGGAGTGGGTGTTTGGAGTGTGTTGTGCATTGGACACACGCTGAGCAGGTCACATCATTCCTTCGTATGATCCCCTCAATTCACGGGAATTGTTTGTTTAATTCGCACAAATTTTGTTTTTCCCGTCACCTCTTTAAAACTCATAGTGTCTTTGCATTGACTTTACATGTAATTCATTCAGGGTCTGAACTTTATCTGTGTCGATGTCACTAGAGGGTGGTGTTGTCTCATCATAGTGAAGTAACGTGGTCTTGACAGAGGAGAAACACAAGTTAGCTTTCATTTCTGCTCTGTGTGTTCTGTGCAGGTGTGTTCCTGACAGTCAGAGGTCTTTTGGTCTGGGTATCCAGTGGATCGTGGTCCGAACATTTGGTAAGAATCTTTTTTTTTTTTTAAAGTCTCATTAAACTCTCTGCTCTAGCTGACGCTGCAGAAATCATCAACACTGTGTAAGCTCAGTCTCTCTGTCCTCTCAATCTGTTCTTTGACTTTCCTCTTAATCTGTCCTCTGAATCTGTCCTCTCACTCTGTCTTCTGAATCTGTTCTCCGACTCTGCCCTCTGTTTTGTTGATCATTGTCTCTGTGTCTCTTCAGGAGGTATTCCTGGTCCCATTGCGTTCGGTTCGGTCATCGACCTCTCCTGTCTGCTGTGGCAGGATCAGTGTGGAGAGCAGGGCTCCTGTTACCTTTACCACAACTCAGCCATGAGCCGCTACACCCTGATCGCTGGAATCATCTACAAGGTCTGAATAAAAGACGATAAAGATTAATGGAGAGAAACAGATTATTAAATTCCTCATAATAACACAAAATACAGCTGATTTTGTTATAGAGTGAACTGGATTCATCCTGGGGGTTAGAGTTACAGTACAGTAGCTAAAGGTTTAGTAGATGCTGCTTTTCTGGTGAGGGTGTGGGGGTCATCAGGAGCTATTGGGGGTCATTTGGGGTCATCAATCAAAAAGGGTACAGTTAGAGTTCATTAGTGTTTATAAGGGTCACATGGGTCATCAGGTGTATATAGAAGTCATGGTAATCTTTGGCGATTGTTATCACTCAGTTTGGGGTTCAGTAAGGTGGGGGTTCATGATGTGAAATATCAGTAAGATATCGGGGGCAAGGCTTAATAGGAGCAGAAGGATTGTGTTTTTCTTCCAGCCAGAGTCCTTATGCTGTCATGTGACCTGTCCTCAGGCGTTGGGGATCCTGTTCTTCCTGTTAGCCTCTGTGCTGTACACACCTCCACCTGAGTCCCCCCACAGCAGCTGTGAGAGCACCGACCAATCAGGAGGAGGAGGAGGACTGAGCAACCTGCCAATCAAAGACCTGCCTGAAGATGGGGTCATCGTCAACCTGCATGCCAGATTATGACACCACAGTCCCTGCCCCCAGCTGGCTGTGTGAAAGTGTGTGTGCATTAATGTGTGGAGGGGATGGGGGGTGGGGGGGTGTCTGAACTACACCAAGAGCCTTCAGTGAGCCACAATGATCACACACACACAGTAAAACACACACATGTAATCTTCTGAGTACAGCAGCGTGCCAAACACTGACAGATTATAATTATGATTATTATCCCTTTCATTATTGTTATTATTGTTGTTGTCGTTGTTATCATAATGAGATCTGCAGATCAATCCAAAACATATAGAGAAAGCATAACATTTACAACACGACTGACTTTGATTCCAAGAGTCTGAAATCACTCTGCTGCACTGATGGGGAGGGGGAGGTGGAAGGGGGGAGTGGTTAGTTTGTGTGAAGGTCTGCAGCTCCGCTCTGAATAAAGTCTTTCAGAAAGATTTTATTCTGAGGGGTTTGGTCAGGTCTGTTCACTCATGAAGAATAATTGAAACTGACAGGACTCTAATGACCTTTGACCTTTGAAAAACAGACAATCAAACATGGAGGGTCCTCTGTGTTTCTGTTTTAATTTGACTCAAATGAAACTGAACCAAAGAGATACAGACTTAATTTAGAGGATCAGAATTAGATACGTGACATGAACAGAGGAAGAGACTTGTCTGCACCAACAGGACCAATACATCTGCCTGTCTGTCCACCTGTCCACCTGTCCATCTGCCCACCTCTCAGTCTCACTGTGAAGAGGTTGCAGGGCTAGTATATTTACTTGAGAGGTTGCGTCCTCTAGTGGTTATGGTGATTATCAGGAGAAACAGAGCGAGACAAAGGAGGTGAATCTGAAGTGTGACACACGGGATAAATCAATCAGTCAATATGTGAGGGGTAGCTTTGACTCAGAGGTAGGGTTGGTCACCTCCCATTTCCAATCAGAGGGGTTCCAAATCCAAAAAACACTTGACCCACCATTATTCTTTATAGAGAAAACAGATGTAAACCATCTTAAGTGTCTAATCATCTACAGTGACCAACATCAGGATCAGACTAAGCCCCATCTTGACCCACTTTGATCCATCTTCAACCACCATGAGTGAAACACTCTGCAGCATTTATCGAGTTACAGTGGAGAGGAAAAAACTTCCTTTAACAGGCAGAAACCTTGAGCAGACAGTCATCTGCTGAGACTGAGCTGGGTTCAAAGAGGGGATAAAGAAAGATGAAGAGAGAGAGAGAGGGAGAGAGATGGACATAGGTGAGACTGAGAGGGAGAGATGAAGAAAGAGAGAGAGACGGAGAGAGGAAAGAGAAGTTGAAGGTGGGTTGTTGTTGCATAAAGATTAGTTTTGTAATGGTGATAATTGTAATGGTGACAATCATGGTCAGGCTGATGTTCATAATTTAAGGAAATGGGTGGGTCCTTAGAAGCGAGTCATCTGCTGCGATGAACACGAAGACCAAAAACTCAGAGTTCAGTCAGATAAAACTGAGACTTTCTGAAAACCAACACCAATATTATGAGGAAAAAATATCTTATTGTCATTTTAAACATATTTGCAGTAACAAATTTTTACATTTAACATGTTAACAGAAAAAACATAATTACATTACACAACTTTACATGAAAATATCTCTACTTAAAACATATACATCAATACATCTTTAGATCAAAACATCTCAACGTCCAAACATACTCACAGTAAAAAATCTCAAAACATCTAAGCCTTAAAATATATGTACTTTAAATCATATTTACACTGAAACAACTCTACATTAGAACATACTTACAGTAAAAGATCTTCACGTTAATACATCCTGACATTAAATAATTTTACAGTAAAACGTCTACATTAGAACATCTTAACATTAAAATATTTATGTTAAAAGATCATTAAAACATTTCTACATTACAACATTTTTTATGCTGAAATATGTTTAAATTAAAACATCTTAACAGTACACCATATTTATGTTAAAACATATTTATGTTAAAAAATCTGTACAGTGAAACAACTTTGCCTTAAACGTATTTACAGTAAAACATCTTATCTTTTGCCATCTCGACATTAAAACATCTTTATATCAAACATTTTTACTGTAAGTTAATGGAAGTTACAGTAAGTCAAAACATATTTATGTTTAAAAATTTCAACGTTAAAAATCTTTCTACTAAGACATATTTACATGAAACATATTTACAGTAAAACCTTTTTTAGGTTAAAACATCCTTACATTAAAACATCTTTTATGAAAAAATATTTATCTGAAAACATCTTTAAGTGAATAGATCTTTACATTAGAATGTCTTCACATTAAAACATCTTTACATTAATACATCTTTATGGTTAAACATCTTTACGATAGAACATATATATGTGAAATTTGATCCATCTTCAACCACCATGTGACATTTACAGTTTACATCTTTATGCTGAAACATCTTAAATAAACATCTTCAAGTGAATACATCTTAACATGAAAACATCTTCACATTAAAAAAACTTTGCATTGGAACATATTTATGTTTAAACATTATTATGCTAAAATATCTTTTTGTTAAAACATTTTTCCCTTCAAACATCTCCACGTTAAATCAAATTTACACTGAAATACATTTATGTTAAAATATGTGTACCATAAAACATCTCTACGTTAAAACATATTAACATTAAAACATTGTCATGTAAAAACATCTTTACATTAAAACAGCTTCATGTTAAAACATCTTAACATTAGAAACCTACATGAGCAGTACACACATTTAACATCTCTAATTAATCATCTTTATGAGCACACAGAGGTCAAAGGTCACACTCATTAACAGTATCTAAAAATCTAAAATCATTTTAAAGTTTCAGTTATTTAGTGACGCAGCTACTGCCTGGTCAGGTGATGCAGAGGTGCATGCTGGGAAACAGCCATTATGTTGCCATGGTTACAGGTATAGAGTGATGTAGTTAACAGGTGAGCAGTGATGTCGAAATATCTCAGTACTGTGCACACTGTGCCAAACAGCGCCCCCTGGAGACTGTTCATCCTCCTCTGGAAAGAGTTATTTCTGCCTGTTTGTCTGTCTCCCAATTTATCTATTGTTCTATCATTTACCAGTTTGTTTCTCACCTGCCAAAAGTTAGTGGATCATTTTTATTCTCTGTCTTCAAGAAAAACAGTCATGTCTCCTGTCTGTGGTCATGTGACCTTACACAGGTGACTGTACCTGTATAACCAGAGTTGATGATGTCATCATCAGGTAAAGGTGTAGATGTACACCTGTTTGTTCTGTCCAGACAGAGATAAATTAATCTGTTTATTTTTTTTATCTTTCATTTTTTTGGTACTTTTTTAAAAACAAACTGGATTCAAATCATTTTATAAAATTGTTCAGAAATTATGCCTCTTTATAATAAACAAAATGAACAACAAATTGTCTGATTACCTCGTGTGTGTGTTTGTGTATCTGTGTGTGTGTGTGTAAGTTAGTCTAAAGCAGGATCGAGTTCATACTGAGAGAACAGAGAACAGACCTCTCTCACGTCCTCATAAATAAAACCTGGGGTTATTGATATTTAATCCTGTCTTCCTGTCCTCTGATAAGGACAGGAGTTCACAGTCAGGGTGTAAATAAAGAAACTCTGCATTTAGGATCAGATCACTGTGCAAAGGAATAATCATTAACGTGTAAAACTGTCTGTATTTTACATCCAGCTGTTACTCTACTGACCAGCAAGGGGCACTGCCTCACTGTGTGTCAGACCCACACTACTGGCTGTGACTATCCCTCTGTGTGTGTGTGTGTGTGTGTGTGTGTGTGTGTGTGTGTGTGTGTGTGTGTGTGTGTGTGTGTGTGCATTGATTAGTTTATTTGTGTAAAATTATCCTGATGTCAATAAATCAGGTTGTGTGTCATTTATTCAGTCAGTCAGTCAGTCAGTCAGTTATTGAATTAGTCAGTTTGCTTTGCATTAGATTACTCAGAGCTGCTCACTGCAGGGTGGAGGATACAATTATATGCATTCCTCCTGTAGGGGGCAGTAACATAGCTGTCTGTGTACTTAAGTGAAATAATCAAAGCTAATGAGCCCCCCCTGTGTGAGTGTGTGTGTCTGTGTCTGTGTATAGTCAATGATGGAGGCTGATGGCTGTAAATAATTGGTCAGACATGTTTACACTGAAATTATTGATGCCATGATTGATTTGTAAACACATTTAGAAAAAACAGGAGCAGGAGGAGGAGTAGTTTGAGAGACTGACAGCAAAATTAGAATATAAAAAAAAAAAACAGTTACATTCATAGATCACATTTTAGATTGATGATATAAACCAACACAGTTTTTATTTTGACATTTAAGACGGTCCAATGTCAGCTCATACACTGTGTAACATAAGAGAAGACAGTCCACCTTAAAGTTCCTGCCAAACAGACTACATGATAACGCCACAGGGAATTTTCTTAAATCTGACTACACCCCTGGATTTATGGAAAATCCACCAGAGCCTTTATGGTGTCCCATGGAGACGGACCCCCGCAGGACCAACAGGTCAAGGGTGTTTCTGTGGAAAATCATGTGAAATAGTTTATATGATGCGTGCAATCTGATGGGCCATCTGGTGTGTATTAAGAGGGTTAAAGCTGATAAAAACAAGAGTGGAAATCAGAAAAACAAAAGAAATCCAAAGTCACCAGAAAATCTTACCACTGCGTAGAGGTGCTAATACTGAGGTGTGGGTCGGCAGCAGCCTTAAAGTCAGCTTGATTGTAGATTGCAGATGAGCACACTCAGCCTGAGCGCCACTGGGGAAAGGAGCAGCCTCTAGAAGCAGGTGATTAAACAAACTAACCTGCCCAAGAGGCAGACTCCAAACCAACATTTAAATTTATAAAGCCCATGCTCACCACATATACATCTGTTACCTGTTCTTACCAGAGCTCTGTGAGACTCAAGGCGCTCTTATTATGGGCAGCTGTGGTCAATAGTCTTCCAAGTGTAGGGAGTTCAATCCCAGGGCTGTCCCAGTGCCCTAAGTGTCCTTGGGTGGGACGCTCAACTACCCCTGGCTCACTGACTGCTCCCACTGATGTGTGAATGGGATTAGCCAGAAACCGATGGCAATACATTGCTGTCACTGTTGTGTGAATGGGTGAATGTGAGTTAAATGTAAAAGAGCGTTGACTAGGCAGAAGCGTAGAGAAAGAGAGCTGATTGTCTGATAAGGCGCCGCCCTTGTGGCGATCCAACAGTTCTCCTATTCCTGTCCCCCCTGTATGTGACTGTCTTTTAATGTTTCTTGGACGGGTTGAACTAAAATAAAACTTTGTTGTTCTGTACTTGTGAGATGTAAAATGACTATAGATTCCTCTAATGATTCTAATAATACAGCCTCAGGTCCAGACTCCGATTTTCTCTGTGTGTGAAAGACAATACGATAATAATAATAATAACAATAATGAACATAATAATGTAAATAATAATTATCTTCTGCTCATTGTCTGAGCTCTTTGTTAACATGCCTGTCATACTCATTACATTCACTATAATGTCCTCAGTGTAGCAGCAGCAGCTGTGTGCCTCTGATAGCTTGTTGTTAATTATTTGTCTGTCTGATCTACTCAACTCGACATTAGATAGAAAATAAATCAGAGTCAGAGTGAATAATTAAAGTTCATTAAGGCACACAGTTCAGCAGACAGAATCAGCTCAGAATCTGATCTGTCCCCTGTTTTATCGAGTTATTAGTTCCCCTCCAAATGTTCAGAAAACCTTCAGAAACCACAGAGAGAAACAAAGAGGGTCCTCATCGGCCTGATTCAGTGAAGGAGTGAGCATCTTTTTCTCCTCCAAACCCATAAAATAAATAAATTAATAAATGAATGAATAAACAAGAGCGTCATCCATCTGATTCACAAAGGACTAGATGTTCTACAAACTGCAAACAGCCTTTCTGAGCGCTCATTTCAGTATGTCAATAATCCTTTTTCCATTCATGTGGAGTAAAATCATTCATGTCTGAAAATCAACACCATTAATACAAAACATCTAATTCACTAACACAAGTGTGTTATGTTCATTATGTTCAAGTGACATAATTGGCTCTGGTGAGGCGGATATGGGGTGGCGGACCCCGCGCAGTTGCATTTTCGTCTGGCACAGCCCGGCGTACTGCCAGTTTGGTATTATCGTGGACTGAGGCGCACGGAGGCGAACCGAGATCTGCCAAGCTGGGCGTGGTGGCGTGGCAGGGGGAGGTGTCGACAGAATCAGCGGGCGCAGTGACATTTTCGTGCTCGCCAGTGGCGTGTTAAGTGCGCTGAAAGCTTGCCGATTCAAACCTGGTCAGCTTTCGGCACAGGCGTAGCGCAGCTGGTTTAGTGGTATTTTGGTAGACCGGCGGCGTATCGGCATACGTCACCGATGCCTCACCGGCAGGTTTCCACAGTGTCAGGCAGATTTCAGTGCAATAAATAATCATCATCAACTATTAATCTGAGTCAGCACATACATTTAGATCTATATCGATATATTCTGATCTATATCTGATCTGATGAGCGCGTTTGGCACGCGTTTGGACACACAGCCTGACCGAATCAACACAGCTGAAACCGCATTAAATTAAATTAAATATCTAGTTAATAAACACACATGATGAAGTGAATAAGATATTTAATTTGTCTCCCTCCTTTTCTTTCTTCCTCTTCCTCTTATTCCTCGCACAGCTCGACCTGGACATGTCTCCGTGTCCTCTCTCCGTCCTGCTGCAGCGGCTGAACAGATGATTTGTTTCAGTGCTCAGATGCGTTATCTACTTTAAGCCGACATACGGATATTATAATATTCAGTTTTGTGAGGCAAATTTATTTTATATGCCAACATCTATGAAAGAAAGAGCCAGGCCACGGAGCGCGATGTGTCATTTATGCACAGATGGTTCCGAATTTAATGCCATTATTGGAATTTATGTTGTGATCTGTGCGCTAAACCCACCTTTGTCACGTGAGGTTTGAATATGTGCAACTTTATGTGAGTGTCTTAATAAGTGGAAAAGGGTGTTTGTCTTACCAGTGGGTCCAACATTACACACACCAAATCCATCTGTGCTTATTTGAGAGAGTGTGGAGGATGCCCAATGCAGAGACAATTGTTGAGGAGCTGCCTTCTGTCACCATTGTGTGGCATTACTGTCTTCAGACATCTCTTGATCTCTTTGACTACTTCATGAAAATAGTAATACACCTTGCCGGTGGCAGATTTAAAGGCGAGGAGAGGAGCTGATGTTATTGGTTAATACAGGTCTCGGCTTCTCTCCTCCCCCCCAACGACTTACGCCGCTGGGGGGAGCTGAGTTAGGGAGGGGGGATACTTACGCCGGGCTGCGCCGCTCACCAAAATACCAAATTGTGCCTGGGAACGCCTTGTCGGCGCGGCGGACCTGACTTACGCCGCGCCTGCGGCACGTCTCCGGCGAGGCACGAAAATAGAGCCCTTTCAGTTTGATGGTAATCACTGCATCTGCGTCAATGCAAACTTTACAGACACCATGACTTAAAGATGATACATGTTGACATAAAGTCTCAATATTTCCCCCACATTTCTGATGAAATAAGCTGTTTTTTCATCAGTCTGAGGCCATCTGTGGCTCAGCTCTGATGGGCCCATAAATGAACTCACGTAGCCCCTTATTGCCTTTTGTATCATATTTGATACATGCTTTTATTATATTTCTATCAAATCAATATGATCAGCAAATTTAAAAAAAAAATCACCTTAATACAGTCCGATAAATGATAAAAATGTCCTCTTGTGGTTTATTAGTTTCCAAAAATATCTAATGTATCAAACAAGATAAATATATTTGTCAAATTTTAAGGACACTTTGATTTTTTTGGTTTTAACTAGTTAGAAAAATAAATATTTCAGCTCCAAAAAAATCTGAATTTTCTGGCCATAATTTGTGGTTTCAGGCATTAAAGGGTTAACTCACACCTGTCATTAAATACCTGCTGATAAAGGTGTCTGCTCCCGGTCCAGATTAACATCTATATGTGGACAAATCTAACCTCTGAGAGCTTGCAGCTCAGCTCTGTGCAGCAGAGAGAGCTGATGCTAACAGCTCATCTCCAACATAAGATGCAAAACAAGAGCAGACTGCAAAGAGCTGCAGAGACAAATCAACCATCTGTACAGCTTCACCTTTACTTTTGACATGCACACCTGTAACAATCCTAAATTATTTTTTCAAACCTCTTTGGCTCTTTAACTGGTCAAGGCCTTCATTCTCTTTCAGGAGAGACAACAGAGACAAAGAAAAAGACAGGGACAGTGACAGCATGGAGAGAGATAGCAGAGACACAGACTTTAATTCCTAAATAACTAAACCCAGATGGAGCCCACCAAAAGGGCTGGATATAGGCTAGTTCAGTATCCATGCAATTATCCAGGGTTATTATATCTGACTTATCAAAATTTACTTTGTACCAGATATCGAGTCAAATTTGTTGATACAATTTATCAAAGCTGATAATGATTCAGAAGGACTTGCTAATTTTCAAAGAATATCATCAGCATACAACAGGATTTTATGTTGTTTCATACTCATTGTTACTCCCTGAAAATATGGGTTTTGCCTGGTCGCCAGGGCTAATGGCTTTACAGCCATAGAGACAGTGGGCTTTCTTAAGCTCTGCCTCTTGTCACTTTAAAGAGAGCAG